TTGTTTCCCACTTGTCCGTCTAGCTTCGTTTTCCTTGTTTTCCATTTACCAAAAATGGATATATATTAAAGTAATAAACTGCTGTATATATGTAAAAAGCCTATCCCAATGGATAAAACTCTCATTTTATTATTCGTATAATTAAAAGCATTTCAAATGTTGTCTCACATTATTCATTTTATATATTAGGAGAGGAAATAGTTGTGCATAAGGATTATGAGGTGAGCATAGTGGAAGAGCAGCCGACGGAAGAAGAACAATCGCAACCGCAACAAGAAGAGCGTCCACTACAGGTTAGGATCATTGAGGAGGTGCCAGAGGTCGAAGAATCTCATCCGATTGAAGTGATAGAGGAGGAGCAGCCAGAGGAGGAGGATGTGCCAACAGTCGGTGAAGGGGAGAAGCCTAAAAAGAAAAAGAAGATTGTGAAGAAGAAATTAGACGAGCATGATGTCATCATACAAAAACTACTTGAACAGGAAATCGAGAAGACCGAACTGGAGAAATATGAAAAATTCGAATTTGAAAGACCCGAAAAGGTTAAGCCCGAATTCGCTAACATCGAGCCACAAAAAATCGAACGTAAGGAGCAGAAACCTACTAAATTGGTCGTTGTGGAAACGACGGAAGAACCACAATCCATTAAACTGAAGCCAGCTAAACGTAAGCCAAAAGCAGTCGAAGAGCAGGCAGTACAATTGCCCAAGTTTAAACTGAAGAGTCGCATGGAACTGGTTGAATACCCGCCTGAGGCTGAATTGCCGCAAATAACGGAAATTGGCGCAGTTCGGGAAAGTGGTGAACTTACTCGCAATATTGAGGAAGCCGAAGAACTGCTCAAATTCAAACCACAAAAGGTTAAGAAGTTGAAGAAAATAAAGGGCGATTTGGAAAAGCCGCAATTGGAGAAATATGAGAAGTATGTCAGCAGTGAAGAGGAAATCGAAGAAACTGCACCCTATCAAAAGCCTGAAAAGACACCAAAGGCAGAAGATAAGCCCGAGGAAGTTAAGCTTAAGATCGGCAAAGGCAAAAAGAAACCCATTGCTGAGGAACAACCCGAGAGTGTTACTTTGAAAAAGACTCCTTTGAAGCCTAAGGAAGCTGAAGTGGTTGAAGAAAGTGTGCCCAAAAAGAAAGAGGAGGTACCAGTTAAAGTTATTGAAGAAACACCAGAACAGCCCACATATGAACTGCAGCCGTTCGAACCCACGGAATTTGAACAACCAGCATACGAAAAGGAGGAACTAGAACCCGTGGAAATGCCTGAAGAACCTAAAAAAGAAAAGAAAGAGCCGAAACAAAAACCAAAGCCTAAATCGAAACCAAAGCCCGAACCAGAAGTAAATATAACTCAAATAGTTCCTGGTGTACCAAAAGAACAAGAAGAGGTACCTGAGGATGAGGTGAAATTCCGCATTCCAGAAAGCGAGGTACCTGAAGAATCGAAAGAGGAAGTTAAATTGAAGCCAATTAAGAAGGTTAAAGAGGCACCAGCACCCGTAGAGGAAGCAAAGATGGTGCCACAAGAGGAAGACACAGAAAAGATTCCAATTCCCGATGCCGAGGAGCAAGCCGAGAAGAAGAAGAAACCAAAAGCAAAGAAAGCACCACAAAAAGAGGCGGAATCTGTAGAAGAAATACCTGAAGAACAGTTTGAGATTTCTGTGACCGAGGAGCAGCCTACTGTTCCCGAGCAAACTGTTGAAGAGAAAGCTGCTGAAGTCAAGCTAAAGAAGAAAAAACCGAAAGAGGCACCACTTGCCGAAGTGCAGGTGGTCGAAGATGTACCGAAAGAGGAGATAATAGAGGAAGCTCCAGTTGAGTACAAAATTACAACAACAGTTATTGAACCTGAAGAAGCACCAGAGGAACATAAAGTGCGTGTTATTGACTACGATCAGAAAGAGGTCACTGTCGAAGAAGTGGTGGAAGAACGAGTGGTCACACGCAAAAAGAAACCCAAACCACAAAAGCCTGAAGAATATGAATATAGTATTACTGAGCCCCAAATTTCAGAAGTGCCATCCGAAGTGATAGAAACTATTCCAGCACAGGATGAGCAACCAGAAGAGGTAGCTCCTGATGAAGCAGTGGTAGATGTGAAAGACACCGGGGCTGCGCCAGAAGAACCAGTCGCCAAGGTGAGCATAAAGAAGAAGAAACCAATTAAGAAACTGGAGGAAGAAGTTGAGGTTGAGGAGGTTCCTCTTGTTGAGGAAGTCAAAGAACATGTTTCCGAAAAGGAAGCTATTGAGGATACTGAGACTAAAGAGGTGCTCAAGAAAGTGAAACCGAAGAGCTATAAATTCAAGCTAACCGAAACAGAAGCCGAAAAAGCGCCCGAGCAACTTGCCGAAGAAATTCCAGAAGAAGAGGAGAAGCCACAGCCAGTAGTAGAAGAAATTGCAGAAGATTTCCCAACCTATGAAATCACCACTACGGATATTGAAGCCGAGGTTACGAAACAAATAGAAGAGATTCAAGAGGTTGTCAAAGAGAAAAAGCCTAAAAAGGTAAAGACCTCAGAGGCTCCTAAAGAATATGAAATCGGAGTAGTGGAAGAAGTGGTGCCTAAACCAGTTGAAGAGGTGGAACAGCCCGATGGTGCCGTCTTCTCAATTAAGAAAAAACCAAAGAAAGAGGTGCCTGAAGAATTTGAGGCTGCTGTGGTTTTGACTGAGCTGAAACCGGTAGAGGAAGTCGAAACGGAGGTTGCGGTAAAGAAAAAACCGAAGAAACCGAAAACGCAGGAAGATGTTTCTGTCATCCACGAAATTAAGGTGGTTGAAACGGAAACTCCGAAGGAGGAAATTGAAGAGCAAACGACACAGGAAGTAGTAGTCACCAAAAAGGCACCCTCGATCGAAGAGGTTCCTGCTGAATACAAATTCGGAATTGTTGAGTCACAAGTTGAAGAAAGAGTGCCTTCGGTTGAATTCACAGTCAAAGAAGAAGAAACTGTTGAGCAACCAGTGGAAGAGCCTGAGGCCCAATTCGTTATCGAGGAAAGTAAACCTACAGAAGAAGTTGTAGAAGAAGCCAAAATCAAAACCAAAAAATCCAAAAAGAAGCCAACGGAGACACAAGAGGTCGAATTGAAAGTGAAAGTCACAGAAGAAGTTCCGGAAAAACCCACTCAGGTGGAGGAAGAGATAGATGAGATTATAACTGAACCTGAAAAGGTTGTGCCCGAGGAAAAACCCAAAGAGTATGTCATTGGTATTAAGGAATCAATGCCAGAAAAAACTGAACCATTGGTTTTCGAAGAGCCTGAAATTCCCAAAGAGAAAGAGCTAGTCGAAGAAGCACCAGTTCAAGAGGTAAAAGTTATCACTACAACCCCGAAAGAAGAAATTATTGAGGAGGTATCTGTGGTTAAGAAAAAGGTGAAGAAGCCGAAAGAAACCAAAGAAGAGCTCAAGGTGGATGTTGTTGAAGAGACTCCAAAAGCTGAGGAAGAGAAACCACATCAAGTCATATTGAGTGCTCCGACTGAAATTGAGGAGAAAGTATGCAATACAGAAATGCGAAAAATGGCGGTTGTTATAGAGGAAAGAGCACAATTTTTTTTTTCAAATACTGCTGTAGTCGCACGAATATTATTATACATACATATAAATAATAAACAGACTTAAATATTTCTTTTACAGAATCACACAATTTGTTTATGTACTATATGTATTTGTTTATTTCCAACAGATGATTAAGAAAAAACAAGCGGGACAAACGCGTTAGAAAAGGGCAGAAAAAGTGCAGTTGAGAGTTGGTGCAGTTGGTTTAACGGTATTATGAGAATAATCTACATATATTCGATATTATAAGAGGGGTAATAGGTAAGTAAAGTTATTCTAATATAAGTACATACATATGTACCATATAGAGGTTAAGGCATAAATAGACAAAATACCATTAAAAAGCAAATAAGAAAGGAAATCAAAAAGAGTTAAATATCGTACAATAAAATTTTAAAATTAAATCAAATAAAGTACATAAAATAAAATCAAATGAAGTGAAAAAAATGCAATGGGATATAGTAGCCGTTGTTTTGGGTATGCAGCTACAGTTTCACGGCTATACTCAATCCTTCGGTGGGGCCACTCCGACATATTCGGTTTAAGGACTCACTGATGTATGCAGCGTCTTTTCACTAGTAGATGCGGCTGCAAGCGGTCGTCTGTCTTGGAGCAAGCGGTTTGCTATATGACTAAACGTGTTATTAGTTTAAGAAAACAGCCCCCTCCCAGCAATGGATTGTGCGCTGGGTTAAGAAAATATAAAAAGTATCGGCCGGGACCCCTTTATTGATGATGACCAGAGCAAATGTTTAAAGGACTACGATCGGAGGGCATGCACTTGGACTGTCCACACCTTAATGGGGAAGGTGCCTCTGCTCGGCTGGTTGATATCCTCGTGATTTCAATGCTAAGGTTGGCAAGGAAGGGATTTTTGGCGCTACTGTTGGAAAATTTTGCCTCCACGACGAATCGTTCGATAACGGTCTGAGCCTGATTGACTTCGCCGAGGCCCGAAATATGGCAATCAATCAAGCTACTTAGCTTTCTCCAGATGGAAAAACGAGAAACCAAATCGATCATGTTGTGGTAGACGGAAGGCACGCTTCCAGTGTTTTAGACGTACGTACAGCCCGAGAGGCATGGACTCGGATCACTTTCTTGTTGCAGCCAAGATGTGCACCTGCCTCGGTGTGCCCAACAATAAAAAAGAAAGCTCAACGCCGAAAATCTGCAATCACAACAGATGGCCAATGCATTCGCTAATCGGCACGCGAGCAATGTGGGACCGTTATAGGGAACTTAAGAGGAAAACGAGGCGTGAGTACGAATAGCTTTAAATGCTAGTCGAAAGGAAAAATGGCCGAAAATTTTACCAGACAGTTAGGTGACTTACGGAATGTTTCAATACAAGTGCGAACTCATGTAGGAACAACCATGGCGATCTAGTGACCGATGTGCAGAACGTACTTAAATTATGGAGGGAAAAATTTTCTATCCTACTGAATGGAAGCAGCACCGAAAGTCCTCGAGAAGACGAACCCGATGATAGCGGACGTGACGAGGTACGAATAGCAATTACGCGGCTGAAAAACAACAAAGCTGTTGGAGATGACAGCCTGCCAGCTGAGCTATTCAAGTACGGCGGCAGATAAGTTGCATGCATTAGCTCTTATGCAGAATATGGTGAGATGAACGCATGCCCGACAACTGGAATTTAAGAGTGCTTTGCTCAATCTGCAAGAAGAGCGATCCCCTAAGGTGGGATCAGCCTTCTAAGCATAGGTTACAAGGCATTATCGAGTATATTGTGTTAAAGACTNCCAAACTGCAAGAAGAGCGATCCCACCATTCGCGCCAACTAAGGCGGGACCAGCCTTCTAAGCATAGGTTACAAGGCCTTATCGAGTATATTGTGTTAAAGACTGAAGCCCACCGTCAACGAACTGATTGTGCCTTATATGTATGGCTATAGAACTGACAAATCTACCATAGACCAGGTATTCACAAAACGCTAAATCTTGGAAAAGACCCGCGAGAAAAGGATCGACACTCAGCATCTATGTATTTGTCTACTTCAATGCCGCTTTCAACAGCATTAAAAGGAGTTGCCTACACGCCGCGATGTCTGAATTTGGTATACCCACGAAATTTATACATTTGTGTAAAATGACATTGAGCAATACCACCAGCTCCGTCAGAATTGGGAAAGACCTATTCGAGCCGCTTGCCACCAAACGGGGTTTAAGACAGGGCGACTCTCTTTCATGTGATTTCTTTAAACTGATGATGTTGGAGAAGATAATAGGAGCTGCAGAACTGAACTGCTCATGAAGAATTTTCTACAAGAACGTGAATTGCCTGGCGTATGCCGAAAGCATCGATATCATCGGTAACAAAACCCAAGTCTGTTGTGCTTTTTCCAAGTTGGATAAGGGGACAAAACGAATGGGTCTGGTGGTGGGCGAGGGTAAGATGAAGTATCTCCTGTCATCAAGCAAACAGTTAGGGCTTTCGGGCCTTGGCACCCACGTCACTGTTGACAGTTATAATTTCGAGAAAGTAGAGAATTTCGTTTACGTAGAAATCAGCATTGACATCGATAATAATGTCAGTATGGAAATCACGCAGAATCACGCTTGCCAATAAGTGCTACTTTGGACTGAGTAGGCAATTCAGGCGTAAAGTCCAACCATATGGAAATATAGCGAATTGAAATACAACGGCTCTGCTGGCTTGACCAGCTCTGAAAGTATACAACTCTGAACTCGCTGTTGGTAGCAGAGAAAGAGGAAGGCCCCCATTGCAATAGAAAGACCAAGTGGAGAAGACCTAGGCTTCACTTGGCATGTCCAATTGGCGTCAGTTGGTAAAGAAGAGAAACGACTGGCGTGCTTTGTTGAAATTGGCCAAAATGGCATAGGCGGTTACAGTGCCAAATAAGAAGACAAAAAAAAAAATAAAATTAAGTAAATGAAAATAAATTAAAAGTATTATAAAAAAACTGAAAAATTAAATAAAAGAATAATATATAAATTAACTGTTAAAAGTAACCATTACTCATGTTGACGTCTACTCTCTACGACGTAACGTGTTATTTCTGCCTTAGCCTTCGCAAACGCAATTATATACTTATTTTTTTCGCCTAAAGTATTGTTTTTTTTTTTGTTTTAGCCCGAATAAAAAAATTTTGTTAAATAAATATATANCTACTCATGTTGACGTCCAATCTCTACGACGTAACGTGTTATTTCTGCCTTAGCCTTCGCAAACGCAATTATATACTTATTTTTTTCGCCTAAAATATTGTTTTTTTTTGTTTTAGCCCGAATAAAAAAATTTTGTTAAATAAATATATACACATAATTTGTTTTAGTACTTAATAGTGTTTGGGAACTCAATAGCAGAGAGGGAAAATATAGCAGAACAAATAACTATAGTAGATAGTAAATACGTAGTAAATTATAAAAATGTAAATTTGCTTGGATTTGGATTGTTTTGCAAGTAGGAAGTAGATAGATAGTATTATGTAAATTTGTAGCAACGAAGGTTTTGAGCATAGCAACAATTTTGCTGGCGAGCAACAAATGTCGCAAATGCACTTACTTGTATCATCTGTGATTTTTTGTTCTTTTGGCTTATGTTTTATTGTTTTTTGTTTTGTATCAGTTGTATCCGATGTGGTTGCTGTTGTTGTTGGTTCGTCCTCATGAACTAATGGTGTGATTTGTTCTGTGTCCTCTAATTGTGTTTGTGGCTGTTTAGGTTGTTTTCGTGTTTTGGGTTTAGTGGTTTCTTCGACTATGGTAGGTATTTCGTCTGTTGTGTCTGTGAGTGGTGTTTCTTGACTTAGTGTGGTTTCAGAAGGTATTGGTTTTTCTGTGGGTTTCTTTGATTTTTTACGCTTATCTGACTTTTCTTTGTCATCGGGTATTTCAGATATTTCCAATGATTCGGTGTCTTGTGGCTTGATAGTGTCTTTTTCTTTCGGTATTTTAGTTATTGGAACATCGACCTTTTCATATTGTTCTAGTTCTACTTTTGGTATTTCTTCTTCTATTAATTTTTGTATGTAATCATCTAGATCATCCTTTTTAATTTTCTTTATGGTCTTTTTAGGCTTCTTCGGCTTCTGTTCTACAGTGTGTACAGTTTGCTCTGGTTGCTCTAAGGGAGCAATAGGCTCTGTTTCTGGTTCTTCGCTGACTATGACAGTTACCTCAGGGCTTGTGTCATCTTGAACTGTTACAATATTTATAGTGCTGTCTTTTTTGCCCTTTTCTTTCTTTTTAAGTACTCGTTTGGTGGTAACTTGCTGGATTGGTTCTCCTTGTTGATCGACAATTTCTTCAACTTTAACCTCAGCTGGAGTTTCTTCTGTTATAATAATTGGTTCTTCGGGTGCCTCTGATTCGATTATTTTGATTGGCAATATTGCTTCGGTTTCTTCCTTATGTTCCTCCACAACATGCACTTCGGCCAAAGGCTGTTCCTCTACACTCTCTTGAGGTTTCTTAGTTTTAGTCTTTTTCTTCGGTTCCCGTTTCTCGAATGCTTTAGGAGTTTCTTCTTCGATTGAAGTGTCAAAAGGCTCTTCGTTCTCTTTTTTAACCTTTGGAATAGTTTCGAATTCGATTTTTTCATATTTTTCTAATTCAGTTTTGGGTATTTCTTCCTCAATCAATTTCTGAATGTAGTCGTGTAAGTCGTCCTGCTTGACCTTCTTTACTTTCTTTTTCTGAACCTTAGGCTTACCGCTCTTCTCTGCTTCTTTATCTTCGGCTGGTGTTTCTATAATAGTAACTTCCGCTTCAGGCTGGTCGCCTGTTTGAACCTCTATTATTTCGATAACATCCTCGTTTGACCCTTGTTGACGTTTTAATTTGCGTTTTTTCACTACCTGTTTCTGGACTTCACCTTTGTCGTCAATAACTTCTTTCACTTCTGTCTTCGATTCGATTTCTTCTACATTTACTGGCTCAGCGACTGTTTCAGAAGGTACCTCTTCGGGTTTATCCTCCTCAAGAACCTTGCTCTTTTCCTTGACGAGTTTCTTTTTCTTTGGCTTTGCAAGCTCTTCGGTCACTGTGATCTCAAAGTTCTCAACGACGGAGGAAGGTTGTTCTGGGGTAATTTTGATTTCTTCAGACGGAGCTTCCTCACTCACATCTTTGGGCTCTGTTTCTTCAATTGATACGGTTTCAGAAGGTATTTCCTCTGACTTATCTTCCTCAGTGACCTTAATCTTTTGCTTCGTCGGTTTCTTCTTCTTTGGTTTTACTTGATCTTCAGTTACCGTGATTTCGAATTCATCAACCTCAGTGGTAGGTTGTTCTTCGGCAACCTTTATTTCTTCCGACGGTGCCTCCTCCAGCTCTTCTTGTGGCTTCGTTTCTTCAATTGAGACTATTGCGGAAGGTATTTCCTCTTGTTTATCTTCCTCAGTGACCTTAATCTTTTGTTTCGTCGGTTTCTTCTTCTTTGGTTTTACATGATCTTCAGCTACCGTGATTTCGAATTCCTCAACCTCAGTGGTAGGTTGCTCTTCGGTAACCTTTATTTCTTCAGATGGTGCCTCCTCCAGCTCTTCTTGTGGCTTCGTTTCTTCAATTGAGACTATTTCGGAAGCTATTTCCTCTGGTTTATCCTCCTCAGTGACCTTGATCTTTTGTTTCGTCGGTTTCTTCTTCTTTGGTTTTACATGATCTTCAGCTACCGTGATTTCGAATTCCTCAACCTCAGTGGTAGGTTGCTCTTCGGTAACCTTTATTTCTTCAGATGGTGCCTCCTCCAGCTCTTCTTGTGGCTTCGTTTCTTCAATTGAGACTATTTCGGAAGCTATTTCCTCTGGTTTATCTTCCTCAGTGACCTTTATCTTTTGCTTCGTCGGTTTCTTCTTCTTCGGTTTTACATGATCTTCAGTTACTGTTATTTCGAATTCCTCCACCTCAGTGGTAGGTTGTTCTTCTATAACGTTAATTTCTGCAGTCGGAGCTTCCTCATCCGGTTTATCCTCTTCCACGACCTTTACTTTTGGTTTTGTTGGCTTCTTCTTCTTCGGCTTGGCCTCTTCTTCAGTTGCTGCTATTTCAAATTCATGATCCGAAAGTGATCCATTTTCTTCTTCAATCAATTTTATTTCATCAGAAGGATATTCCTCAGTGTCGACATCTTCGGGTTCTATGTCTTTAACTGTTACTTCAGCTGCTGGAATATTTTCAGGCTTCTCATCTTCCTTTACCTGCATTTTCAATTTTGTGGATTTCTTTTTCTTCGGTTTGATATCGTCTTCAATAATTTTTACTTCAAAGTCATCCTCAATTGGTTTTGTTGGTTCTTCGTCAACAACTAGTGTGGTAAATTCATGAACTTTCTCTTCTTCTTTAATATTATCTTCATCAATTTGTTTAACCTTGTGTTTTGGTTTTTTGCCTGGTTTCGTTGGAGTTTCCGAAGTTTCTTCGTGTTTATATTCATCGAAAATCTCAGCCGGAATTTCCTCGACAATTTTCGCTATATACTCTGGAGCATCTTTAGTTTTTAATTTCTTGGTTTTCTTTTGTTTAATTTCGACTTTCTGAGGAGCATCAACGTCCTTGCTAGGAGATGTGGCTATGACTGTTATTTCGGCTTCATCAGAATCTTTATCATGCACTTCCACGATATCTAGGACTACTTCCTCGGGCCCCTTTGTATGTTTAACCTTTTTCTTCTTCACAATTTTTTCTTTAACTTCACCGCTTTGGTCGGTAGATATTTGTTTTTCAACAGTTTCTTCAATGATTTCCACTTTGTATTCTTCATCTAATACTTCTTCCGGCGAACTTTCGCTAACAGATACGGAGAACTTCTTGGACTTCTTTGGCTTTTCGGGGATATTTTCGTCCACACTTACCACAGTTATCTCTTGCTCAGGTTGTTCATCTTGTACGTCCTCTTCCTTAACGACAATATCTTTAACTGGTTTCTTTCTTGGCTTCTTTGACTTAACATCTTCGATGTCTGTAACATCAATTTGATACGGTTGTTCTTCTTGATTTACCGATTCCCCTTCAGTTAAAGTAACGTCCTTCTTTACAGGCTTTTTCTTCTTTTTAAGCTTTATTGGCTCTTCCAGGTCGACTCTCTCGTACTTTTCTAGTTCCGTTTTCGGAATATCCTCTTCAATTAGTTTGTAAATATATTCCATAAGGTCGTCCTTTTTAACCTTCTTTACTTTCTTAGGTTTGATAGCCTTGGGCTTATCATCCTCGGTTGTGTCCGGCAGTTTCTCCACTTCCTGCACTAATACTGTTACTTCCGCTACTGGCGAGTCTTCCAATTGTGTTTCAATAATTTCAATAATTTCTTCTTTCGGTCCAACTGCTTTTCTTATCTTACGTTTCTTCGTTATCTGTTTTATTTTTTCTCCAGTCTCATCTATTATTTCCTTCACATCCTGTGTTGTTTCAATTTCTTCTATCACAACATTAAAGTAGTTCACAGGCTGTGTCTCTTCTAGCAGAATCTGAGTTTCCTCTTCGACTGGAGTTTCCTTTTCGGATATGTCTTCAAAAGATGAAACGCGTACTTTGAATGCCTCAGTATCGTCTTCGGGCACTTTCGTGACCGATTTCTGTTTCTTCATCTTTTTGTGTACCTTCTTAATAGGCTGTTCAGGTGCCAAGGATTCTGTTATGCCTACCTCGTATTCGTTTTCTACTTGGTCAACGGTCTCTGGGTAATCTTCTATCAATGTAACATCATCTTCAGGAAGGGTGTTATCTTCTTCATGCAGCTCTTTCTCTGTTACCTTCACCTTATGCTTCTTTGCCTTGCGAACTATCTTCTTTGCATCCTGATTAACATCGTCTATAGTTTCTTCCTCGCTTTCTGGTGCCGTTTCCTTTTGAATGAACTCTTCAATGACATTTACCAAATAGTTTTGAATATCTTCTTTTGGTATGGTCTTTGGTTTTTTGACAACTTTTTTAATTGGTTTAACAGCTTTCTCATCTTCGAGAGTCGGCTCAGTTTCGTCAATTTGCACAATTGTTACTTCGGCAACCGGCTGATCTTCGCCCTCGGTTATTTCGGATATTTCGAATACCGCTTCTTTGGGTCCTTGCTTACGTTTAACCTTTCGCTTAGACACAGTTTTTTCTTTGATATCGCCCTTCTCATCTGTTTCCTTGATCGTCGTTACCGTTTGCTCGAGTTCTTCCAAAATCACAGGAGCTTCTTCGGCCGGTGTCTCCTTTGGCCTTTTAGGCTTTCTTATTTTTGTAGGACGTTCTTCTGTAGTTGTTTCATCAAATCTCATCGGCTCAACTTGCTCCTCGGTTACACCAACTCTAAATTCTTTGCTATCGTCAGGCTTAATTTGCTCATCTTCAACAACAACCTCAGCTAATGTTTCTTCAACTTCCTCTTCTTTTTCGCTGGGTATATCTTCAACATCGAACTCATGAATTGTAACAGCCACTCCGTCAACTACTTCAACCGTTTTCTTATGTTGCTTCGTTTTCTTTTTAGGCTTCTTAACAGTTTTGCCAAATTCAATCGGCGTAAATTCCTCTAATTCGGTTTTCGGTATTTCCTGTTCAATAAGCTGTTGTAAATACTCATCGAAGTCGTCTTTAGGAGTTTTCTTCTTTTTGAGTTTTTTAATAGTCTTTCCTTTTTCTACTATATCTTGACCAGCATCTGTTGGCACCACTTCTATTGTCGACACAGTTAATTCCACCTCATCGGGTTTATTTTCTTCAAACGTCTCCACAACTTCTATAACATATTCCTTTGGACCTTCCTTCTTCTTAAGTTTTCGCTTAGTCGTTATATGTTTTGTGATATCACCCTGTTCGTCAACGATTTCAGTGGTAGTAACTTCAGGTGCTGATTCTTCAATACGAATGACATACTCTTCAACAACTTTCTCTTCTTTTGGCTTAGTACGTTTTGTTTTCTTTGATCTTTTCTTATCTTCTTCTTGTACATCGATGCTGTAGCCTTCTGGCACAGTCGATTCGTTGATATCAATCTCCGCATCAGGTTGCACTTCAATTTCTCGTGGAATTTCTTCATGCGATTTTGATTCAGATTCCACAATCTTAACTTTCTTTGGCTTTTTAACCTTCTTCGTTTTCTCTTCCACTTCTTCCTTCATAGGTAAAACGTTTTCAGCTTCTGGTAATTCTGGCTGGCCAGCGTCTTCTTCTACAACAGTAGTCCTGAAGAAAATGTTCTCGTCAAATGGTTTCTCAATACTTTCAGGTATTTCTTCCACTTCTTCCTTCGGCTGTACCTTAAATTCTTCTGGTAGTTCTTCAACAACTTTCATAATGTAGTTCGGTAGCTCTTCTTTCTTGATCTTTTTAGTCAATTTTTTTGGTACACGTTTGCGCTTCTCCGGCAGGGACTCCTCAGATGTTTCCACAACTTCTGTTGTTATAACTGTTACTTCCGCCTCTGGTTCATCCTGTACCTGCGTCTCTATAACCTCTACAGTATAGAACTTATCACCTTTCTTTTTCTTGAACTTGCGTTTTGTAACAGTTTGTTCTTTGACTGTACCGTCAGGTTCTTTCTTTGTGATAACCTCAACATTTTCGGACGTTTCAACAATCTGCGCATCATCACCAGCAGTAACTGGGATAGGTACTGTCTCTTTCACGTCCAAAATATCTTCCACAGAACTCTCTGAACTGAGTTTGATAGGCGGAGTCTCTGTAACATTAACTGTAAATTCAGCGCCAGGTATTTCTATTGGTCCTTCTGTTGCCGTTTCTTCCAATTTGACCATTTTCTTCTTTGGCTTTTTCTGTTTAGGTGTTTCCTTAGGACTCGTTTCTACTACACCAACTTCCAAGGTTTCAGGCTCTTCCAAAACGGCTTTTTGTGGTGACTTCTTAGTTTTCTTTGGTTTTTTAGGCTTACCGTCGATATCAATCTTCTCGTATTTTTCGAGTTCGGTTCTAGAAATTTCAGCATTAATTAGCTGTTGAATGTATTCGTCCAGTTCGTCTTTTTTCAACTTTTTCGTCTTTTTCTTCCGTGGCTTGTCTGCTGAATCTGGTTTTTGTTCCTCCATGTCAACAACAAGCACTTCGTACAGAGTTTCCTTTGAATCCGGTGTTGTTGCTTCAACGATTTCGATTACACTCTCTTCATTGCCCTTCTTATGTAGTAACTTTCGCTTTTTGCGTATTTCCGTTTGAACCTTACCGTCCTCCTTGACAGTAGTCTCTTCAATGAATTCTGGTTGTAGTTCTTGTACTTTAATTTCATAGAAGTCCACGGTGCTAAAGTCATATATTTGGTCTTCAGGTGCCTCGGTCAATTCGGCGATGAAATCATCCAGTTCCTCATCCTTCATTATCTTTACTCTCTTCTTTTTAACTGACTTTGTTTTAGGCTTTTTCTCATCGACCTCACTTACATCCGTTGTAGTTACATTCACTTCGTAAGTGGGTTCACCTTCCGACGTTGCTGGCGCAATTTCAATTATTTCTATTATATTTTCCTCAGCCGGTGTTTCATGTTTAAGTTTGCGTATTTTTCTAGGACGTTTCTTAGCTCCGGGCGCTGTTGGCTGTACACTTGTTTCTGGTTCAATTTCAATTATTTCAATTTTGTGGAAAGGCTTTAACTTTATTTCCCCTTCCTCGCTTTCTGGTTTTTTAGATTGCGGTTTACGCAGTTTCAACTCTGGTTGCGGCAAACTTTCCTCGTCCTTTGGTTTTTGTGGCTTTATAGGATATTGTACTGATTCTGGCTGCGATGGTGTTTTCTTCTTTCGTTTGTATTTTGGCTTTTCTGGTGAAATATCTACATCAGGCTGAGATGTGTGGGATCCTTCCGAAATTGGTTCATCTTCTGACTCCAATTCCTCGAATTCGAGTGGCTCAAATTGTATGGAACTATCTCCCACGCCAGGCTTTCTGCCGCGCTTCTTTCGTTTTGGCTTTTCTTCTACAGGTTCATGAGGCGTTTCAGCCACAAAATCTTCCGATTCCTGCTTATCAATCGGCTTTAGACTGATCTCTTCGATGTAATTTTCATTTTCGGGTAATTTTCCTTTTCCTAAAGTTATCTTTTTCGGTGCATCGATAGCTTCAGCCTTGGCTTGCTTCTTTGGACGCTTATATTTCTCTATCCGTTCTGGCTGTACTTCTTCCAATTTGGTATCCTCAAATGTTCCCAGATCAAGTGTTTCAAGTTCCCTTTCCGGCTTTTCACTTTGCTTGATTTTAACACGGCGCTTCTTTACAATGCTTAGCGCTTCTTCTATACTTCTTGATAACTCTCCAGAGCCCCGATTAGTTTCCAATTCGGTTATGGTAGGCTTGAAACAGTAAGGGGAAAATGGTATAAAATTGATCCAACTCTTTAATTTGGGTTTCTTGAAGACAGCCTCGTCCTTTTTGGGCTTCTCTTCTTTTGGCTTTTGCTTCGGTTTTTTCAGTTTAAGCATTTGCGGGAATTCCGCTACTGATGTAATTTCAATTGGCTTAGATTTCTTTACCTCAACACTTTCAATCTTCATTGGGACCAATTTGATTGGCTTTTGTGGCAAAGCTGAGTCTCGGCGAGCTCTCTGAGGCATCTCTATGTCAACGCGTTTATACTCTTGAAGCACAGTTTTGGGTATTTCTTGCTGTATAAGAAATTGTATATATTCATCCAAATCATCTTTTTTCACAACCTTCTTAGTTTTCCGTTTTTTCTTCAGCACCGGCTTTTCTTCAATTACCTGAACTTGGTAATTTGTTGCTGGCGTATCCTCAGGCTTTTCTTCATCTTCCGAAAGAACCACCACTGTACTCTCTTCGTCTTTACCTTCTTCTTTTGTAGTAACCACCTCAATTACTTGTTCACGACCACCCACCTTTTTCTTAATTTTTCTCTTCTTAACCATAGTCACTTTTGGTTCATTTAAGTCTTCTTCATTCATATCTACAGACTGTTGTACTTCGAATACCTCTTCAGGCATATATTCGATAACCACTTCGTCGGGAGATTCGTCGATGCTTTCAAATGGTTTTTGTGTCGTTTTTTGTTTAATTCTATGTTTCGTTTTCTTATCTGTTTCAGGTGTTTGTGTAATGTCTTCAATGACATCATCTGGCTCTGTTATTGTGTACTCTTTGCTATCTTGGTCTATACAAGAAAAAATTTGGGTCTATGTTAGCTCTGAACAGTATCGATTTTACGCTTTTGAGTGTAATAAATAAATGTTCAATACTTGATAAATTCGAAAATTATCCTACTTAAATAAACTGGCATATCTAATCGCACTTTAACACATAAAAACTATTAGTCCTTATGTGTGTTTTTTTTTTCTAGAAAAACTGCCCAGAACAATACCTATACAATGTGCTGAGGAATGTGACCGTTTATATCTTTTTGAGTACTAAAGCAGAGTTAGTTGGCAATACTTATTTCTAAATACTGAAATGTTTTTTTTTTGTATAAAAACTATGTATATAATAAAATAAATTAATAATCCTATGCCCATGTGCATTTTGAATATCCAGATTCATTGAATATTAATATTTGTATTGTATGTGGTATAAGTATATGAACAAATCATTCACCTGTGTATCCGTCGACTTCTACAATTTCTACATTCTTTACGGTGGATTGATCCTCATTCACAACTGGTTCAGTATCGCTAAGAACTTCTTCGACGACGATGCCTTCCTCTTCAGTCATTTTCTTATTTTCTGTTTCAATAACAGTTTCGCCGTCTTCATTTTGAACGGATTTGAATGTAGTAACGAAAACGGGTTTTTCCTTTGTTAAGTGTTCTGGTGTAGGTTTTTCCTCTAATATGTAAAGGTTTGTATTCATGAAATGTGGAGATTTTTAGTAAAATAAAAATGACATTTTGTACAAATAAAATGTTAATTAAGAATATCGAGCTCAAAAGTATAATATCTGTATTGTGTAATGTTGTGTTGTATTGTGTAATCTTACCCTTGGATTTGTGTAGTGTTTTGGGTTTTTTGCGAGATGGTTTCTTTTCGTCTTCTAACAGGCTAATATCAATTATGTCCGCAATGTTATCATCACTAACAACACGAATGAGAGAGAAAGGTTCTTTTCCCTCTTCCTCAATAGTTTGAATTTGATAAAATTCTGGTTCAGGGGACGCTTCTTTTTTAAATGTTCTGGTTTTGGTTATCTTCTGCTTTGGTTTTTTATTTTTATCAACTATTTCTGCAAACACGATCTCTTCTGGTAATTCCTGAATTGGTATCGGTTTCTCTTCCTTGTTAGATTGCTCTACATCAGGGAAGGGCTCATCGTATTCTTTCACCGTAACTTTAGTAATAGGTATTTTTTCAAACTCTTCAATTGTCTCTACTTTCGTAATCTCCATTTTAGGTCCGTCAATTTTTTTAATAATTTTTGTTTTTATAACAGTCTTGGTAGGCGTACCATCTTCCTTTTCCGATATAACAATAGATTTTTGTTCTGGAAACTCAACCACAGAAACTTCGTCGGTGGGTTTTTTGACGAAAATTCTTTTCTTCAATCGGGATTGCGATATCAATTCTCTAATCGGTGTTTCTTCCACGGTCACAGTTATTTCGGGTTGCTTGTTATCTTCTTCTACGGTTTCGATCTTTGTAACCTCTTCTTTGTCACCCTTCACCTTCTTGATGACACGAGTACGGATCTTCTTCTTCTTTGGTTTGCCGTCCTCTGAGATGCTTTCAATCACACGCACCTCTTCGGGCATTTCTTTGACTTCTTCGGGTGCTCCGTCGACTGGAGTTTCTTCAACAGTGATAGTTGTTTTCGGTCGCTTATCCTCCTCTTCGACGGTTTCGATCTTCATGACCTCTTGTTTGTCACCCTTAACTTTTCTAATGACACGAGTACGAATCTTTTTCGTTTTAGGCTTTCCATCTTCGGCTGTAGATTCAACTAACCGTACCTCTTCAGGCATTTCTTCAACTTCTTCGGGAGCGTCCTCGACAGGAGTTTCTTCAACTGTGACAGTTGTTTCGGGCTGTTTGTCATCTTCTTCCACGGTTTCTATTTTCGTGACCTCTTGTTTGTCGCCCTTCACCTTCTTGATGACACGAGTACGGATCTTCTTCTTCTTCGGTTTGCCGTCTTCAGAAATAGTTTCCACCACGCGTACTTCTTCTGGCATTTCTTTCACTTCTTCGGGTGCTTCGTCGACAGGAGTTTCCTCAACTGTGACAGTTGTTTCGGGCTGTTTGTCATCTTCTTCGACGGTTTCTATTTTCGTGACCTCTTGTTTGTCCCCCTTAACCTTCTTGATGACACGAGTACGGATCCTCTTTTTCTTTGGTTTGCCGTCTTCAGAAATTGTTTCAACCACACGTACCTCTTCCGGCAGTTCTTTCACTTCTTCGGGTGCTTCGTCGACAGGAGTTTCTTCAACTGTGACAGTCGTTTCGGGCTGTTTGTCATCTTCTTCCACGGTTTCTATTTTCGTGACCTCTTGTTTGTCACCCTTCACCTTCTTGATGACGCGAGTACGGATCTTCTTCTTCTTTGGTTTGCCGTCTTCAGAAATAGTTTCAACCACACGTACTTCTTCTGGCATTTCTTTCACTTCTTCGGGTACTATGTCAACAGGAGTTTCTTCAACTGTGACAGTTGTTTCGGGCTGTTTGTTATCTTCTTCGACGGTTTCTATTTTCGTGACCTCTTGTTTGCCCCCCTTAACCTTCTTGATGACACGAGTACGGATCCTCTTTTTCTTTGGTTTGCCGTCTTCAGAAATTGTTTCAACCACACGTACCTCTTCCGGCAGTTCTTTCACTTCTTCGGGTGCTTCGTCGACAGGAGTTTCTTCAACTGTGACAGTCGTTTCGGGCTGTTTGTCATCTTCTTCCACGGTTTCTATTTTCGTGACCTCTTGTTTGTCACCCTTCACCTTCTTGATGACGCGAGTACGGATCTTCTTCTTCTTTGGTTTGCCGTCTTCAGAAATAGTTTCAACCACACGTACTTCTTCTGGCATTTCTTTCACTTCTTCGGGTACTATGTCAACAGGAGTTTCTTCAACTGTGACAGTTGTTTCGGGCTGTTTGTCATCTTCTTCCACGGTTTCTATTTTCGTGACCTCTTGTTTGCCACCCTTAACCTTCTTGATGACACGAGTACGGATGTGCTTTTTCTTTGGTTTGCCGTCTTCAGAAATTATTTCCACAACACGTACCTCTTCAGGCATTTCTTTCACTTCTTCTGGTTCATCGTCGACAGGAGTTTCTTCAATTGTGACAGTTGTTTCGGGCTGCTTGTCATCTTCTTCGACGGTTTCTATTTTCGTGACCTCTTGTTTGTCACCCTTCACCTTCTTGATGACACGAGTACGGATCTTCTTCTTCTTTGGTTTGCCGTCTTCAGAGATGGTTTCAATCACACGCACCTCTTCGGGCATTTCTTTCACTTCTTCGGGTGTTTCCTCGACAGGAGTTTCTTCAACTGTGACAGTTGTTTCGGGCTGTTTATCATCTTCTTCGACGGTTTCGATCTTCGTGACCTCTTGTTTGCCACCCTTCACCTTCTTGATGACACGAGTACGGATCTTCTTCTTCTTTGGTTTGCCGTCTTCAGAGATGGTTTCAACAATATGAACCTCTTCCGGCATTTCTCTGACTTGTTCGGGAGCTTCCTCAACAGGAGTTTCTTCAACTGTGACAGTTGTTTCGGGCTGTTTGTCATCTTCTTCGACGGTTTCTATTTTCGTGACCTCTTGTTTGCCACCCTTCACCTTCTTGATGATGCGAGTACGGATCTTCTTCTTCTTTGGTTTGCCGTCTTCAGAAATAGTTTCAACCACACGTACTTCTTCTGGCATTTCTTTCACTTCTTCGGGTGCTTCTTCGACAGGAGTTTCTTCAACTGTGACAGTTGTTTCGGGCTGTTTGTCATCTTCTTCGACGGTTTCTATTTTCGTGACCTCTTGTTTGCCCCCCTTAACCTTCTTGATGACACGAGTACGGATCCTCTTTTTCTTTGGTTTGCCGTCTTCAGAAATTGTTTCAACCACACGTACCTCTTCCGGCAGTTCTTTCACTTCTTCGGGTGCTTCGTCGACAGGAGTTTCTTCAATTGTGACAGTTGTTTCGGGCTGTTTGTCATCTTCTTCCACGGTTTCTATTTTCGT